CCACGTTGGGCTCCGCACACAGTGAGGAGTCTGCTTGAGATTCTCTCCCTCTGCCCCTTCCTACGCGCCTCCCCCCCACCGACCCTGGCTCGCTCGTATGCGTATGCATGCCCTCTCTCTCTCTCCCTCCCTCAAATAAATAAATAAATAAAATCTTAAAAAAAGAGTTGAAATGCCTAAGACTGTACAGGGATAAAACGGCAATTGCCACATGCATACGAAAAACTGCCCTTTAGACAGAAATGTCTGAGTGACAGAGAGAAGAGCCTAGCTAGAGAGAAGTAATTTAAAATAGTAGTTTAGCCTCTTAAATCCCAACCCTACTACTAGTTAAGGAAACTTGGGTAAGTGAATTCACCTCTCTATAATTCAGTTTAAAATAAATATAACAGTACCTACTCTCACAGGGTTGCTCTAAGGATTAAATGAGTTAATAGACATAAAACATTTAGAACAGTGCCTGGTAAATAATATATGAGTCCTTACTATCAGTATTATTTATTTTTAATAATTTTTAAATTATTATTATAGATTCTGAAGCAGTACTGGAAAAGAGAGCAAATTCAACAAGAAGGTAGCAAGTGGCAACAATAGAATAAATAGAAGGAAAATACAGAGAAAAAGAGACAAGCAAATAACAGAATTGCCTAAAACTGATACTTGCAGAATGAATTCTTAAGCCCTTATAGTAAAATTAAAAATATGAGGTAATCCCAGTGTCAAACAAAATCAACAAGGCAACATGGGATTTCATAAAAGGTGATGAACTGAGTGCTGAATGAACACAGAAATGAACTGAGACTGGATACAAATACTGTCCCTAAGGGAAACAAAATGTTGCCAATTCACTAGGGAGGATGGAATGGTGATTAACAATCCTATTCCCAATGTCTTCATTTACTTAGAAGTATCTTCATTTATCTTAGAAATACTTAGGGAAAAAAATGTTAGCACAACATAATATAAAAAAAAATACAGAATGTGGAGCCAGAAGATCTGAGACTGAGTCCCAGTTCTACCAACTCTAAAGTTACATGACCTTAGTAAGTCAACCTCTCTACCCATGAATTTCTCCATCTTTATGATAAAGAGGATAACAGGTTTTTTACTTAGCTAAAAGGGTTGTTACAAGAACCAAGTAGGATTACATAGATGAAAATACACCTTAAAAACACTCTATAAAATTATTTCTAAATATTAAAGTAAATGTCTAACATAATCTTAAAATTTTTTAAATCAACTGCACAGGTATGAGATTCTAGCTGAACCACAGTTCACAAGAAAATAACCTATGATCTTTAGCCTAATAAAAGTTCAGGATGGTCCTAAAAATGGCATGGTTGCTAAAGAACAAATGTAATTTTTGACCAAACAGAATGAACAGTCACAAAAAATAACAGACTCATGGCGTTCTACATTAAACAGCCTCCTTCTGGAGTATTATGTTCTGCTTTAAGAGCTCTATTTTGAGAGAATCTGAGAAATTGGAAATGTGCCTGGTAGGGGACAGTAACAGGAATAACAAAGGTCTTCTCAAATGAAGAACAGTTAAAATAATTGGAATGCTGACCTGGAAAAAAAAAAAAGAGAGAAGGGGGTAAGTGACAGCAGATTTAGATGGTCAGACTTCCTCCATGCTGCGGTAGAGGACAAGTAAGAGCGGGTGGTAGAAGTTAGCAAGACAAAGATGCTCACTTCATAAGGAAGAACTGTGTGATAAGTAGTAGGAGTATTCTGTGATAAGAACGGACCACTTCCTAAAACAATGTGTGTCCAATCCCTGGATGTTCCAAAGTAAAAACTAAATGAGCATCAGCTATGAATGCTACTTTAGACAGGTTAGACAACTTATGAAATCCCTTTCAAATTTAAGATTCAGAAGGCTATCAGAAATGCCAGGTGACTGAAACAGACAGTGATAGTGGGAGCACCCTATCCTGGTGTCAAAGGAAATCAAGTTATAGAAAATGGGAAAATATGGAAAACACCAGTTCTCATTATAACTAGCAGAGCTATTTATAAATAAACCACAGTGCTGTCACCGTCACTTTGCCAATTTGTTTTGGGCCTCACCTCCTCTCCTATGATCTTCCAACTCTTCTCTGCCAAATACTGTAATTTAAGAGCCCTGTGCGCCCTTAGAAAGGCTGTCAAGAAAACGGTTTTCTTTTTAATTAAGTTCTTCAACTAAGAAAAAGTCATTACATTTCCTGACACCCAACACCAACGCAAAACAAAAGGAAAAACTAAGATTTGTCTTCCTATTGTGTTTTTTTTCTTTTTTAAATTAAGAATTTTTTAGTTTTAGTCTTAGAAAAATTGAGCAGAAAGTACAGACAGTTCCCATATACCTCCCCACCCCCCGTTTCCACTATTTTTAACATCTTACTTTAGTGTGGTATATTTCTTACAGCTGATAAGCCAATATGGATATACTATTATTAACTCAAGTCCATATTTTACATTAGGGCTCACTCTGGGCTGTACATTCTATGGGGTTTTTTAAAACAATTTTAAAATTGTGGTTAAATACACATAACAAAATGTATCATCTTAACCATTTTTAATTGTACAGTTCAGTAGTATTAGGTACATTCACACTGTTGTGCAACCAACTTCTAGAATTCTTTTTTCATCCTGCAAAACAGAAACTCTATATCCATTAAACAATATTACAATTTTCTTAAGTTCAGTACTCTACATTAGATAATAAAATAAATTTTTATATCTAATTCTGTACAATCTTTTTGCAATTTTCCCTATCATCCAAAATTCCAATTTACTATCATGTTACATATCCAATATCTAATAAAAATTTAATTTTGCTTTATTTTTACCACATATAATAAAAACTAAGATTCACTATCAAAACCATATAGTCACCCCAAAATATCATTAGTTTTGTGCTCCAATAAGGGAAAAGGATATAACTAAAAAAACAGATTCAGCCTTTTTTTTTTTTTTTTAAGATTTTTCATTTATTTGCGAGAGAGAGAATGAGAGACAGAGAGCATGAGAGGGAGGAGGGTCAGAGGGAGAAGCAGACTCCCTGCTGAGCAGGGAGCCCGACGTGGGACTCGATCCCGGGACTCCAGGATCATGACCCGAGCCGAAGGCAGTCGCTTAACCAACTGAGCCACCCAGGCGTCCCCAGATTCAGCCCATTTAAATCAACATTTTATATTCATAACATTTTGTTTAATCTTATCAAAATATTGTGCTACATTTCTAAACACAACAAAAAGTTATTGTAGTGTATACATATAAATTCAAAAATTTTAATCAGTTTTTATTTGCAGGAAGGAAGGAGGAAACTAGAAAAAAATAGCCCAGTTAACTGATGGCCACAGATAGTGGAGAAACTAACCCAATGTATCATCCATCCCAGCTTATTTTGCCTGCAACATGAGGAATTTTACTGCAAGAAGAAAATCCAAACTAAACTGAAGAATCAGCTGGAAAGGAGGCTTCATTATTTCTAATTTTGCTTTACAGATATCTTGTATATCTTCAATCAGTTCAATCACGTTCAGTCACTCGTTAGGCCAAATCTCCAATACAAATGTTGTACACTTATCCCTTCTCCTCACTAGCTTTCAACCACTTCCTCGGTCTAATCCCTATTCACATAATCCTTTTCTCAATGTGTTTTCCCCTCTAATTTAAAATATAAAGAAGGATTAGTGCTAGAGGCCCCTATTAGCCTCTCCAACTTCAAAATCAAAAACAAACTCACTTCCATCACTGGGTAAGTTATTTAACTTTCCTGTAGGCACATGAAGCTTTCCTCATCTGCAAAATCAGGATAGAAAAATGGCTAGCACTCTATTACTATGTATCTGGCACATGGCAGGTGATGAATTATTGAATGAAAAAATGAGTAACTCATAAAACTGTTAAACATGAAATGAAGCAGTTTATGTACTTAGCACACTGCCAGGCACACAGTAAATGGAGGATATTGCCATCATCAAAATCTTCAGTGCATCCCTACTGCCCACAAATTCTAATTTAAACCTTTTCTGCCCTGTTTTTAAAGGAAGCCTGTGGTTGTCAAGCCTTACAATGTCTCACCAACTTAATCTCCAAATAAGCATTCCCACTAAAATCACATCAATGTTTTCTCTCTTCTACAAATAAGCCAAGCTTATTTCTGAAGTTTCAGATATTCATTCATAACTATCTTCTCAAGCACCTTTTACTTTCCCTTGTGGAGTCAAATATGATATCCTTCAGTTCATATCCCATCTTGCCCAGGAAGCATTTCCCAACCATTCCTGATTTTACTCTAAAACCCTCATACACGTTTATTATTGTGTATTACCTCCTTTTGTCAAATCTTTCTAGGTAAATTGTAAATTACACTGTAGCTTTTACTTCCATATCCCCTAGCCATCCCAGAGCAAGTGTATGGATATTACATACAGCACAAATTGATTGATCTAAACTATTGAGAGTGGAAGATTATGGATAGGATTTCTGGATAAGATTATACTTGATAATCTTCATTTTTATTCTTTCTTATAGCTTCCAAGCTAATCATAGCCAAAAAGAATAGATTTCTTTGGCATTCTAGGACTCAGAAATCTTACAATGCTATTTCTATAGATCCACAGTGAAATAACTTATGGCCCTATGATCCTACAATATCTTCTAGATAACAAATAAATATACACAAATACATATACACATAAATATAAACAAGTAAATAAATGTACATATGTATGTCAGTGAAATTTTAACAATTATTTATTTTCCGTATTATAGTTCTTAAAAAAAAAATCAGTGGTTCAGATATGGCATCAAGGGTAACCTTATTATTCAACGTACATGGTTATTTTCTGATTAACTAAAAGTTCATTGTTTCTCACTGTTTTTCAGTAACTGGTATTTTCATGATGACTTAATGCTCAAAACACAAAACTTTCAATTACAAAAGTGACACTGTCAATGTATTTTAATATATTTGAAACACCAAATATAATTTAAAAAATTCTTACCTAATCCTTTTTGTCCTGGATTCTTTGCAAAATTAAAAGTAAACTGGTAAAAATCCTTAAATCGTCCTGGTTCTTTCAATTCTTGTTCCATCTTGGGTATCTGGGCCTTTAGTTTTTCTATGCTGTCACATCTACATTGTAAAATTAAAGTTTATAAAATATAAACTTCTTCACCATAAATTAAAGGACTTTGATAAAAGCTTATATTTATTTCACAGAACTTTTAAAAAATCAGTTGAAATTTTATATTTTTACATTATATAAACAAGTACAGGGTTAGCTAGATAAAGTAAAGGTCTGGAGTATTAAATGTCAGAATTACCATTTTTAAAAGAAATGGAGTATTACTTTTAATTATGTAATTCATTGGACTATCAACACACCCAAATTGTAGAAGTCAGCCACAGTGAATAGAATGTATAGTAATCACCATAACAATCACCAGTTTAAACAGCAGTAGATACTCCTTACCTGGCAACAAGTCACATGTCTAGCTCTCAAACTAACTGAAAGCACAGTCTCTTGCTTAGGTGAGAAAGCATTCCCCTTGAAAAGGTGTTGTTATACAAAGTATAATAATAAATATAAGCTGAACCCCCTACCATCTCTAACTACTTTTCTCAAATCATTATTTAAGCTTTTTCTACATTTGCAAAGCATTCAACTTCCAAGGAACTGAAAGGGTCTATGTACCCATCCTACTTTCCACATAATAGCCTGAAGGCAGAAATCCTCTTTTTTATAGATTCCACAAACTAGCATTCCATTTTTCCTCTAATCATTTCTGCTTTTATTTCCCTTCTATGGTCTTCATAACACCTTCTAGCTCATTAGTTTGTAGATTAAAACTATTTGGAAGTTCATTACATTTTATATGAATTCAGTTTCAAATAAAAAAAATAAGTTCTAGTGGAACCTGTCCTGGTACAGAAAATTCCAGCAAGTTCAAGATAGGGCTGGCTTGGGAGGCAGAACACAGTGTCTAGACCAGTTATTAATTTACTGCTCCTCAACTTTAAACTTACCCTTCTTTGCCCTACCTACACTTTGCGACTATTTGCAGTCAACTACCAATCCTGAGGCTCTGTTTTTCTTACCAGCTGGCTCACTGACAGGTTCTACCAATAGAGGGCGACGAGAGGCTGGAAGAGGAAAAAGGAACTTTTCCTCCTCTCCTAGTCTGTTTTCTGCAGAGAGCAAGGGTTTTTCAGTGCGCTGGGAGCTCCCAGCAGTGTTCACCAGCAGTGGCAACTCCTAAGGCCCGGCCACAGGTGGCCTCCAGCCAGTTTCTTCTCTACCAGAGCAGGAGGCAAAGCAAGCACCGCAGGCCCCGTGTTCCTGCAGCAGCCACACCCTCTCCTCGGAACTCCTCAATCTCAGCCTTGCAGGATTTCTTTCGTTTCTACGTTCCTTCCTTGCTCACTTCCCACGGCCACAAGGGTGATGGCAGCTTCCTGCATCTGCCACTTCTGTTATACTTAGAATTTTCTTTTACCTCTTTTACATAATACGACTTTTTTAAATTTTCCCTGTTCAAATTACTGACATGGTTTTTGTGTTTTTTCTGGACCCTGACTGATTACAATGTCCCTCAGACTCGAGAATCAGAATGTCTGGGTTCAAATTCTGGCTCTAACCCTACCTAATTCCATAATTTTTCTGCACCTCACTTTCCTCATCTCTAAAATGGGTAAATACTGCTTCTTTCACAAAGTTGTTGTGTAGGTGAAATACTTACTTAGCACAGTTCCTGAAATAAAAATGAATGTTCAACAACTGTTAGCTATTATTACTTGTCACTCACTAAAAACAGAAAGGGCAGCAGCCCGTTACCTATCCACAGACTGAATACTTTTTCATATTCTCATTAACTACAGACAACTAGACGCCATAGGTAAAATCTCTACCCATGACTTTTTAACTTACTTATCCCAAGACATTTAGCTAATCAGCTGTTCAAGGTATAAGGGGAACAAAAAGCAATTAGTAACTTCTAAGATTTTACATTCTAGGAGTTTGTTTATAAATCCAGAGTTCACAACCGCACAGTGAAAAATAAACTAAAGCTCATTTCACTTATCCATGTTAAATATTAAAGCACAGTAATTTATTTTAATACTAATGAAACTTCCTCAGAAACAAATGATAAAAGCATAATGCAAATGGAATAGGCTAAACTACACAGAAACCTTGACAAACCCAGAAAACTATGTAACATGGGAAGGAGCTAGCATACTAGCCCATTTCTATTTATACCAATGTTTGTAGGCTGGTAAATTTAAAAATTGACATTTACAAATTCATAACACAATTCAGTTCCACAGTTAATTCTCACAGTAATGTGCCTAATTTCCTGTGGTAAGTATATACTCACCCTAACTCTGTCATACCGTCCATGAACTCTTGTTTGGAGAACTCGCACTGTGTTGCTGCTCTGAACTTCCATGCAATGATCAACACGCTGATGCTGGCAGGATCGAGTGCCAGGTCATCACAGAACTGCTGGATACCATCTATTCCAATTTTATTTTCATCTTGAGGATCTTTAAAAACAACAGTGCAATATTAAATTAGTGCCATACTTTATTATGCTATGCCTAAAACTGGAAAAAGTAATGCTCTATATTCCATTAAAAAATGTTCACAACAAATCAGAAATATGAAATGGTAATACTCTAACATATTTTCCCACTATAACATTTAAAGCCACTTTGTCCCAGAAATGGCATTCTTGAGATGAACAGGAGGATACTGGGGGGGGGAGGGGGGAGGAGAGATGGGCACTTGATTTTTAAGTTTTATTTATTCATGTGAAAAATGTCCCATACTCATATACACTCAGAAAATCAGACATTCCTATATAGAAAAAAAGGATTTTTTCTGAACATATGAACAGCATTTGTTTTCTTACAGCAAAGTTCATTTGATAATGGCAATCATTTCTTAATATCAGAAAAACTGTAACTCTGCAATTCAATCCCAATCTCAACAATATAAACATCTGTTGTTCAAATTAAAGAAAAAACCCAACTATCAATATATTTACTCATCAGATGGCAAAAATTTAAAGTAATGACAAATACAAGGAGAAAGAGGCACTCATACAGTGCATTGTTGTAGGTGATTTGCTAACATCTCTATAAGATGTTAGTAGTTAGTAGAAATAAAAAACATGCATATCTTTTGGCTTCTGGGCATGAGTTAAGCATAAAATGTAATTCTACTTTAGGAAAAATTTTGAAAGAAACTGTATATATATATATTTCTGCATAAACATAAAAGATATGGAAGGATCCACACCAGGCTATTAAATATTGGTTCCCTCAGGAGAATAAAGAGGGAGAAGCTATTAACTTCTTCTTTACTCATATGTTGTTTAACATTTTTAAAGTATTACTTCATAGTTATTTAAAGGTTGTTAAAATTATTATGCAGGTCTCCTTTAAATTAGTTCAGCTGAATTTTATGAAAATGAGGGGGAAAAAATCCAGGCCCCCAGTCACTATTCTAAAACTGGATCTTGGGGGAAGAAAAAAGGGGGAGGATAAGGGAGGAAGAAATAAAGAGGCTAAGAAGAAATTTTAGTGAAAAGAGGGAAAGAATTTCTCTCAGATCTCTTGAAGTAATTCTAAGATCTACAGAGCTACGTTGGACACATTCACCCAATTTATGTTCTATGTATGCCTGATCTCTCATAAGCATGTAACTGTGGAAAACCTGGTTCAAAATATTTAAAGTCACAAGCACTCACCTTTGTATCTATTGTATAGTTGTTCTAACTTCTTCCTGTCCAATGATCCTTTTACACTCTCTCGTATATAAAGTTCAGGATTTTGGAAAAAATTGTCTGTTGCAACATCTAACTTCCAGTCATTTTGAGACAGACAACTTACTGCTGTTTTTTCACTAGATTGTGTGAAGATCATAAACTGACGAACTTTATCCTTCTGCGATGATTTCAACTTGTTCTGTTGAAACCAGAAAATAAATTGAAACTATGTTTTTGTTTTTTAGATTTTATTTATTTATTTGACAGAGAGAGAGACAGCCAGAGAGGGAAC